TGTGCTCCAGTCTCTCCTCCTCCCCAGTCATCTGCTCCTGTGTGCTCTGGTCAGATATATCCTTCTCCCGAAGCTGCAGATTCAGTGCCATCCTTTGAGATAAATTCTTCTCGGGGGAAGGGATTGTTTTAATATCTACAAGAGCTCCCAATAAAATTATTTTTAAAATGTGTTGATTCTTATTTATTTACCAAGGTTTAAACACACCAATAACACATCAACAGCTGCCGTACCTTTTTCTATGCACTGGTCTAGATACATGTATATAAAGCAGCTTTATTTTTATAATGGAATTATTATAATTATAATTCCCCAGAACATAGAAGTCAGATCACTAGATTTCTAGTTTCATAGCATAAAAGCCCTTATCCATAAACAATTACATCTCAATGCTACATGTTCATGCTATTTAATTTCCAAAAAGTGTGCCAATTATAAACATGACAAAACAAGAACCTAAAGTAGGTAGATTGTCCCCTACTAAGACAAATCTTACATCCGTCCCCTACTAAAACATCTCAGTAATTCCATTACTTTTAGCAAATCTAAGTTGCACACATACACGGAGTATCCTGATACAGTAAGCGCCTGGAAATGAAAAACCAACGTATTTTAATTCAACCTCAACATAGAAACATCTAATGTTTAATCCTTCCCCCCCCCCCTTTGACAGCTTTATTTCTCAGCCTCATGCTAATGTGTCTGTTAGAAGGGTTTATAATGGCGTGCTTTACTTGTTAAATTTCATGCACAGCGGGACCTCGATCTACGAGACAACACCTAGTGCTGCACTACCTGGGGTGCCATCAAGTGAGTTCTGACTCACTCTGTGGGACAGCGGGGAACCAGCACAGTGTCAGGTCTTTCTTCCGTGGAGCCACTAGGTGGACTCTAACATCCACTTTTCTGGGGAGCAGTAGACTGACGCACCATTGGCCAACCAGCCTGTGTGAGTCAGAGGTCCAGGCAGCCAAGACCCAAACCAAACTCCCTGCCATTGAGCCAATCCCTATTCACAGGACCCTCGTGGGTTTCCAAGACTGGAACTCTTTACTGCGGGAGTGAACAAGCCTCATCCTTCAAACTGCTGCCCAACACGTAACTACTGTGCCACCAGGGCTCCTCTGGGCAGATAATCCCAGAGTTTCGCAAGTGGTTTACTCAGGCCTGACAGTAGAATGGGGGGAGTGGCAGACTGGGCTGCTCAGTATTGAAAGGCAATGCTATCCCTGCCTTCAAATGGCAAGACGCCCAAGGGTGCAGCTGGCTTTTCTGAGCTTGTGTCCATACTGCAGCACCATACTGTTCTGAGGTCCAACGCTGTGATGCGCTCGGCAATGCGATGGCCAAACTCACTGCCCTGAAGTCTGTCGATTCTCTAAGGCGGAGTGGAACCGCACCATAGGGGGTTTCCAAAGCTGTGCATCTTTGCAGAAGCTAACTACCACATCTTTCTCCCGTAGCTCAGCTCGTGGGTCCAAACTGCCAACCTTGGGAGGGGGCTGGGGGGAACGGCAGCCCAACCCTTTCACCATTGCAACATCACGGTTCCCCCTGTTAAGACGACAGCCTTGGGAGCCCTAGGGGCAGTTCTGCTCAGTCCTACAGGGTTACTGTGAGTTGGCACCGACTTGATGGCAGTGGGTTTGTTTTTTGATTTTCATGAGCGGCATATATGGGAACCACAATCTCTTCCAATCCTTAGCATGGTGGCCTGAAGTGGGGAGCAGCTGTGCTCTGCAGCGCAGGGACTGAGCAGGGCTTCCCTGGGCCGGTTTCCTTGTACATCAAAGGGGAATACAATACCTTTCATGGGGTAGGAGGCGATAGGAGGGCAGGAGGGAAGGAGGGCTGGAAGGTCCAACGAAATGGTGTGAGTCTTGCAAAATTAAGCTCTGCCCCGTGGTCCACCAGCCCAGCTGTTTGTTTCTGTAAATAGAGTTTTACGCCCAGCTGTTTGTTTCTGTAAATAGAGTTTTACTGGCACAGGGCCAAGGCCATTTACTTACATATAGCCTAGGGCTGCTTCTACTGAGTTGAAAAGTAGTCACAACAGAACACAAAGTTCACAAGGGACTGAACTGTACCATCCGGCGCTTTGCAAAACGAAGCACTCCCGACTCAAGTGAAGGTCAACATCCTTACAAACCCCATAGGAAATCGGTACTGCTGTGGCTCAGAGAGGTTAAGCGGCTTGCCCAAGGCCACACAGCTGTCAAGCAATGGCGCTGAGACTCAACTACGCCTGTCTCACTCACAAAGAAAGCTGTGTTC